GATTGCAGCCTAAGACTCAATGGGCTTGATAAGGCATATATGGAATCAGGCTGTAAAAACATTGCAGAAGTATATTCTAAATCCATTTAACTGGATTTTCATTCCACTTGGAATGAATAATAATTTGTACTCACAATATGTATTACAGTGTGTGTGTGTCTGTTAAATCTGACTTTGTATGTTGTTTGGTATGTTACAGTTCTTAAGTTCATTGAAAATTTTATTACAATTATCCAAACTCTCTAAGGAAACAAAGAAAGTAATTTCATATAAATCCACAGATACTTCAGAAATACGAAGTTCAACTGAAACCATCATTTGTTTACCCTAAACCAATATTTTTAGATATCAATATCAATTTATTGTGTAAGTCTAAGACCCTGTAGTTTGAGATTGAACAGCAGAGAAGTACAGGAGTAAAACTCACTTTTCTTGTTTCCTAGCACCAACTTTACTGAAATCAGTCTAGAGGCATGCAGACTATGTCAGGCTTTTTTTCTCTTATTCTTGCCCTTTGCTATACTCATCGTTTTGGGGCAGGAAGTGGATGGATATACTCATTTCCCATTGTTAATGGACTACTTCTACATATTAAAATCTGCTTAACTTCTGATGCTACATTGGCTACAATTTAAAAAAATTATACTTACATTAATAACACATATGTTCCTGTGACTGAAGGACTCTAGAAGCACCTTTTGGTAACCACTGTTATAGCTATCAATCATTTCAACCTCCACCATTAAAGAGAACATAATTTTTTTTGGGGGGGGGAATAGATGCCACTTGGCATGCAAATATGCTGGAAGACCTTGTGGGGGACATACAGTAGGTATCTCTAGATAGGTCCAGTAATTAGTAGTGGAGCTTCATGCTCCAGCAGCGGGGGGGGGGGGGGGAGCAGAGAGCAGGTGGGGGCGTGGCACGTGTCCTGGGGGCGTGGCACACTGCCCGCAGGGGCAGGGGAGGCAGTCGCAATGGCACCCCACCGGGATTGCACTGCTGGGGGCAGTGAGCTCCCCCCACTACCCTCTTCCTCTGCCAGTGCCAGTAATCCAGAGATGGGGAACCTTTGACACTCCAGATGTTGCCGAGCTATAACTCCCATCCTGACCATTGGCAAATCCACGCCGTGATCAACTCCCTCTGTGAAAGGATGTGTGGATCCAGAATTGGCCTCCACAGTCACTTACGGACTCATTGTTAAAACACATATAGTCTGACCCCTGAAATGCAGAGATGGGACCCCAAGAGGCATCTAGTCCATTCCCCCACGAAGTGGGGACCAAGACAGATCTCTTACTCTGCCCCGGGAGCAGGCTGTTCCCCCCCTCCGTCCCAAACTCCCTGAGCTCTGTTTGTGCACAGATACCCCGACACCATTTTTTTGGGCAGAAATCCCATTTTATTTCACAGGAGACGAGAGCGGCTACGGAAAAAACACCACAGTTTTCTCCTTTGTTTCGTGTTGTCTGCCTTCAGCATGTCCAGAGAAATCGTGCCCAGTCAGAAAGGGATCTGAGGGTCATCCAGTCCAACCCGCCAGCTAGGCAGGCATCCTTTCGGGGAGAAAGGGGCTAGTTTGTTGGCGCGCTGATGGGCAGCTCCACGATCCGAACCTGGTCCTGCAAATGCAAAGCGGGTAGTTCATGGCCAGGCATGGAATTCACCAATGCAGGTAAGGCTGCCTCTGGCCCTGGAGGCCCCACCTCTTATCACAGGGAGGCAGGTAGACTGCCTCTGGCGTATGGAAGGGGGACGGGGCTGGGGGTGGGACAGGGGGTCCAGGGTGCAAGGGACTCACGTCTTGGAAGGCAACATTGTCGAAGCCCTCGAACTGGGGCGCCTCCAACGGCCAGCACTTCTTCCGAAAGCGGTGAGCGACGGCCCAGGCCAGGAGCCCCCCAAAAAGGGCGCAGGCGGCTGCGGATGCAACGGCAGCCTCCCAAGGCAGGGTGGGGGCACTGCTCCCTGGGGGGGGAAAGACTCCCTTTGTATGCGCCTGTGTGTCTCTTGAACCCCGGATCCCCAAAGCATTGGGCCTCCCCTCACCTTCACCACCGCTCTCCTGGCGCCGCTCCTCGCACCCGCCTCCTGCCACGTATGCTACGTCGTCCACCGCAATGGTGCCCGTGCCGGACCAATCGCCAGCGCCCACTTCCAGCACCACCTGCGAGACATGGGTTCAAACCAGCAGTGCCTCCTGCCAGGAAGGAATTCGAATCCGCCACCTGCTGAACGTCTCTTGCAAGAGGCGTTCCAAAGTGGCAGGGAGTCCCAAAGTTTCATGGTGCCGTGGCAAGAAGTCCCAAAGGGGTAATTGGGATTCTCTTTTCGAACCGAAAAGCCCCACGTCTTTATAGGGCATCCAGTGGCAGGCAGTCCCAAAGGTGGACAAAGGCCGTCACATTTAAAGGAGTTTAATAGGAATAATATAAGGACGTTTAATTATCATAGGAACACCAGTGGCAGACAGTCTCAAAGGCACCAAACTTTCTGAGATGGCTTACCTGGAACTCACCACCACTGTCAATGAGAAGCCTCTCCTCCCGCCAGGCCCAACCTTGGTGGCCGGCTGCCCGCCAGACCACACGCTCCCCCCTGCGGGCCAGACAGGAGCACCCGGAGCTCAGCATTGCCTGCTGGGGAGGGAAAGGAAGGCGGAGTCATGTGGGCAGTGGGTTTGGGTGCCAGAGGCTCCGCAATAATTCCCTTCCCGCATCAGGGAGTTCCACCGGCCCAAGTAAAACCTGACTCACCACTTTCCCCCTGGAAGGCCAAGCGGTGGCGGAAGTGGAAGCAGCCGGTGCCTTCAAGGGTCTCGCTGGTGAGGCGGGCGGCGTGGTGTCCTGCGCCCACCTGGACGGAGATGTGGCGCCCTAGAGAGAAATGAAAATAATAATCGGGAGAGAAGCCCGATTACTCGCACCCGGACCCAGCTCAGAGCAAACCATTATTGCGACGATTCATTCCAATCTCCTCGACCCACCTTGCAGGGTCGTAAGTCGTAAGCGTCCCGCCCCAGACGCTTGGGGGTACCGCGTGCGAGACTCACCGTCCGTGCCCGCCCCGGCCCAATCCCAGCTCCGCCAATCACCATGGGGCTTCCTCCAGCCACAGGTGCCGGATTCAAAATCGCATGAGCCTGAGCGGAGAGAAGCCAGAGCAGTCAATCTCCTGGCAATATTCTGCACCCAAACCCTTTGGTCATGCGGCGCTACAACTCCCAAGACTTACCAGCGCCGAGGCAGCTCCCCGGTGTCACCTCAAGGTCGTCGAGCGCCACATACGATGGCACAGCCCCTCCATCGCCTTCTGCCGCAAAAGCCACCTGCGCCAGAGAGAGGGGGGTCCGCATGCTGCCACAAACTCAAACCCAGCACCATTCCCCCAACCCGACTCTCCCCTTGGCGCTCACCCGCCACTCGCCGCTAACTTCCGCCGTGAAATTTGCGTAGCGCCAGCTCCCGTGCCGCCTTGAACCCGCTGCCAGCGCCTCGGTCTGCCTCCCGCCCTCTTCCTCCACGGAGGCGCGCAGAGAGCCTGGCGAGAGAGTGCCTTGGTGGAGTCATCAAGCTTTCTGGCAGGGCGGGACCCTGGTGGGTCATCCATCCCACCCCGAGCTTTTACCTGCGTCTCCAGTGCTCAGGTAGTACCAGAATCCGACACAGTGGGTTCCCCCCAGCGGCAGGTACATCCCCGTCCACAGCGGCACCGCTTCTCCCGCTGCCAGGGCGCTGGTGTCGGCAACCATGTAGTGTCCTGGGGAGGGAAGCGGTGAGTTCCAGTTGGGGTCTCCTTCCATATTGGGAGCCGGCGGTCATCCAGCCTGACCCTGGCGTCACTCACCCTCCGATGTGCCAAGGTTGCGGTCATGGGGCGGGCCTTGCCCTGAGGTGCCGCCGCCCTGCCGCCGCACCCACCCTCCTCCCGAAACATTGCAGGCGCCGGGCTCCTCAAAGTTGCAGCGGAGGGGGGCAGTGCAGGGGCCGGGCGCCAGTGCTACGTCGTCCAGTGCCACGGTTCCCACGAAGCCGTCGCGGAGCAGCTCAAAGATCACCTGGAATGGAAAGAAAATAGTTTCCGGTGCTGTTATTCACGATGATTTTGCTTGTTCTTATTCTAAGCTGGATTCGATCCCAAGACCTCACCTGGAAGCCGGGCAGCAGGTGCTGGGGAATTGTGGCCGAGGCACGGCGCCAAGCGGCGCCCTGACTCCCCACCCGGGTCCACAGAACTTCCTCTGCGGCACCGGCGGATTTCACCAGCAGGTTGAAGGTGCCTGGGAAAGAGGGGGGGAGGGGCTCCATTAATTGCTATTATATAATCCTCCTCCTCCTCCTCCTCCTCATCATCGCATCCTTTCCCCCAACCGCTATGTGTTTTTATCTTTGTTCATTATTCTTACTACTGTATTTCCTTTTCTTAACTGCTATAACCATTAAGCTATTATTTATTTTTAAAGGATTCTTGCTGATTGTTATTTATGCTGTATTGTTTTTAATATCTGGTTGGAAGCTGCCCAGATAGGCGGGGTATAAATACATTATTATTATTATTATTATCATCATCATCATCATCATCGTGGCTCATTACCACTCATCATTTAATACCATCAACCGGTGTTCTTAATTTTTCTGGATTATAACTTGTCACCAATATTTGTTTTTGAGAAATAGTACTTTTTACCATCATTTATTCTTATCATTCTTTTTATATGATAATATAAGAATTTGATAATTTTTTTTATAAATACAATATAAATAATATAAAAATATAATATAAAAATGATGATAAGCAAGAAATACTATTTCTCAATAACGAATTGATATTTGTTCATTTGTCTGTGAACCTCCCTGAGACTTTGGGGTATAGGATGGTATATAAAAATTTCATTATTCTCATCTGAAAAGTCTCCGGCGACGCCACTCCTTCGAGGGCATCCCTCCCTCCGCTGAAATTCCTTGCTAGAGCTGAAGCTGCAGGTTCGAGTCCCGCCCTCTTCCATGACGAAAACTCCCTTTGGAAATCTCGGCCCGCATGCCAGCTGACTGAATGGCCTCCTCCCTCCTGGATGGACTTGCAGCGCTTGCCATCTTGGGAACTCCCTGCTACTTGAGATGAAGAAATCCCCTCGCCTCTGGAGATCTGGCAGTCTCCTCCATTGGAACTCCCTGCCACTTGATTGTCAGGCTGGCACTCCTTGTGTCCTGGGCCTTCCCAGCATCTTGCTCTCAAACCTGCACCATCTGGGGAACTGCCTGCCACTTGAGAGCCGCCCTTACCAATCTGGGGCCCCTCCAGGCGGTACCAGAAGGAGAGGCAGGCGTTGGACAGTGTCAGCGAAGCTTGGGGGGCAGAGACCAGCCTCGCCCGCCGGCCGTGGGATCCGGGTGCCGCAGGGTCCGCCGAGAGGAAAGAACCTGTGGGGCGACAGGGTCAGGTCCTGGGTTTGAATTTGCGCCAAGGCTCAGCTTGCCCTCAAAATCCACCTGCTTGCCCCCTGAGACTTGCCCTCTAAGTTCCATTTCAGAGAGCAGCTGCCTCCTTTGGAACTCCCGACAAGGGATAGTTTGTGGGACTGAAACTGGATCAATGATTGATTTTTTTGTTTTATTTCCAAAATGAGGTTTTTCGAGCCATCTAGAAATTCTTGGCAAACTGATAGGAATGGTTTAAGTCATTTTGGTCGAGCCTACGAACCCAACTGTGTGATTTGGAGACGGGCAGTTATTACTATTACAATTACTATTAATGTGATTTATATCCAACCGCATAATCATAAGAAGAAGAAGAAGAAGAAGAAGAAGAAGAAGAAGAAGAAGAAGATATTATTTATACCCCGCCCATATGGAACTAGAAAAGCAATGACAAACCTAGACAGCATCCTAAAAAGTAGAGACATCACCTTGCCAACAAAGGTCCGTATAGTAAAAGCTATGGTTTTCCCAGTAGTGATGTATGGAAGTGAGAGCTGGACCATAAAGAAGGCTGATCGCCGAAGAATTGATGCTTTTGAATTATGGTGCTGGAGGAGACTCTTGAGAGTCCCATGGACTGCAAGAAGATCAAACCTCTCCATTCTGAAGGAAATCAGCCCTGAGTGCTCACTGGAAGGACAGATCGTGAAGTTGAGGCTCCAATACTTTGGTCACCTCATGAGAAGAGAAGACTCCCTGGAAAAGACCCTGATGTTGGGAAAGATGGAGGGCACAAGGAGAAGGGGACGACAGAGGATGAGATGGTTGGATGGTATTCTCGAAGCTACCAGCATGAGTTTGACCAAACTGCGGGAGGCAGTGGAGGACAGAAGTGCCTGGCGTGCTCTGGTCCATGGGGTCACGAAGAGTCGGACACGACTAAACAACTAAACAACAACAACAACAACATATGGAACTGGAACATAAGAGCACATTTGAGGGGGCATCTTTCATCCAAACCTTAAACCAGTAACAGCAGCATAATATCAAATTAATCACAACAACCATTTCAATTCAAAAAAGAAATCTCTTTTGGGATGTGTCAAGGTTTGCCCCAGGAGCTGTGAGCTGCTTTGGCTGCACAAATTGCAATTGAAATTATTCCACCCCCATCGCAAATCAGGTTTGTTCTCAAAATTGGCAGGCTTTCTGCTCTTTTGCAAGGAGCAGATCCCGGAAAAGCTGCAAGCCCTTTCTCCAAATTCAGCTGAAAACTTATACAGCAACTTATAGTGACATTATCAGCATAATTCCACCCGATTTGGCCATGGGAGTGGAATAATTTCGACGGCAAGCCTTTGCTCCTTGCCAAACCAGTGCAGGAGGACTGGAAACACAAGCAGCTTTCTGAAAGGGAAGGTCTTGGGTTCAAATCTTCCTACCTCTGCCCGTCGTGTGGTCCTGGCCGATGTGGAGGCGCCACTCAAACCCGTCGCCCGGCTCAGCAAACCACCCACACAGGTCGCTCTCAAAGTTGCACGACAGCCCTGTGGGGCAGGTAGAGAGAGAGAGAGAGAGAGAGAGAGGAGAGAGACCATCAGGGGGAAGAACACACACACACTTAGATAGCTTCTTATTAATATTATGATTCTTATTATAATCATCATTATTACATTATATATCATAAGTATATTAAGATTAGTATATACTAGCGTTAATCCAAAGATCTCAGGACAGTGTACCGTTTTCAGAGGCTATTTTACAGAGCATAAATCAAAGCATGGTAAAAGACAGCATAATAAGGAAAACAATCATTTTTGGACTGTCACACCCTGAGGAAGAAGAAGCGGAATATTATTATTATTATTATTATTAACAACAACAATATACAGGGTGAGTCTTTTAAAGGAGGCCCCGTGGAACATGTGTACTCACCCCGTATTATATTGGGCCCAGTATCATGTTACTGTTCTTACTATTGTTATTGTGCCCAGTATTCTATTGTTGTTATTGCTATGTATAAATTGATATGATGTCTATATTTACTATGTATATTTATGTATATATTTATTATGTGTATGTGTATATATATTTATATATATATCTATAATATATACATATTATACTATATCCTGCCTTCCTCCCAGGCAGTTTAGAGAAATTTAGGATGAGGAAATCATTACAAAACTAGTAACGATTCTTCAAATTGAAGCATCATCATTGTCATCATCATTATTATTAATAGCATGCATTCCACCCCCACCCCCCGACAGGGACTCCCGGCAGCTGATGGATCCAGTCATCCCCAACCTGAGGCCCTCCAGATGTTTTGACCTACAACTCCCATGATCCCTAGCTAACAGGACAAGTGGTCAGGAATGATGGGAATTGTAGTCCAAAACATCTGGAGGGCCGAAGGTTGGGGATGCCTGGCTAAAACAATAGTGGCCCCAAATTGGGAAAATGTTGAAGAATGATTCTGACGGGCGGAGGGGAATCAGCGCCCTCCGATGGTGACATACCTGAGGGGTGCGAGAGAGAAGCACCGCAGTCCAGAAAGGCCACGCTCTTGATGGCCAGGGCAAGATCCTCCTCCGTCGCCAGGAGCTCCAGCTTCGGGGAGACAGAGATAAGGGAACCCCAGGGGTCATCCAGCCCAACCCGCTGTCACCCACCTCAGGCGGGGTGGGGGGTGGGGGAGCTGCTGGCTCACCTGGAAAGGCCGTTCTCTCGCACCCAGGGCCACGGTGGCGTGCTGCCAGGCGGCAGTGCCATTGCCCTGGGCGTGCCACAACCACCGGCCCGGCGCTGCGTCGGTGACAGCCAGAGCCAGGAGCCCTGGGAAAAGAGCGCGACTGATGTGGTTAAACAATCAGGATTATTTTTACTGAGTTTTAGCACACGTGAAGAACTTAAAATAAATCCTTATTTCCCGGGGAATAGCCTTTGGACTCTGATGTCACTTAAAGAGGAAATCTTGAGAAAGATTTTTCCTCCCAAAGCACTTTGTTTTAAAAATCCAAATTAAATCACAAAATCTGCTCCAATATTTCTGTAAATAATAGTCAATGATGATAGTAAATTATAATAATAATAATTTGCATGCGTCTGCCTGCATGTTGCAGCTCCTGTGCGTTTACATGGAAAATGGATCTGGTCCTCCCTGAATTGGCCCCCCGGCTGCACCTACCTTGAGGGCCGGTGTTGAACTGCAGCTCCACAGCACAGGCCCAGCTGGAAGGCCCCAGGAGCGGCGTGGTGGCCCTGGCCAGGGAGAGCATCTGCCCCGGAGCCTGGCCCAGGCCCAGTCCGGGCGACGCAGGATCCGGCCCCGCGCTGACCCACTGGATCCGGCCTACGCTGACGTCCGCCCAGCCGCCCATGCCATGGGTGAAATTGCTGGCTCCTAGGAAAGGACAGGGGCTGCTGGGATCGGGGCTGGGCTAGATGACTCCAGCTATCATTCTGTGATGCCCAAAGCAGATTTTAGGGTGCCCAGGTGCCACCCCTGGGTGGGCTCAGGCCCAGCAGGGAATCTGCTTTCTGTGTCACAAGAGACTCCTGTGGCAGGCGGTACTGTGGGTTAACAGAGGCCCACGGCAGACGCTCACCACACTGGCTCTCGTCGTTGCCGTCGCGGCAGTCGGCCTCAAAGTCACACACTTGCTTGCCGCCTAAGCAGCGCGCCCCACTGTCACAGGCAAACTGGTCGTCCTTGCAGGGCAGCGGTCTGGGTGGTTGCTTGGTGGGGGGAGCGGAGAGCAGTTCTGGATGGGGAGGGAAGGGGGTGTCAATGTCTGTGACTCTTCATCGGTTGCAGCCCAAAAGGTGGGGGTTGGATTGGATGACCCTGGGGGTCCCCTTCCCATAGGCCATTTTTGTTACAAAAATATTCAGCCTTGCTGGTATCGTCTTAATATTGACAACCAGAAGGTTTCCTTTTTGGAATAAGAAATTTCCAGAGCAGGGTGGATTTGATCGAAATCAAATCAATTTAAATGACAATTTAAACCACCATTTAAATCCCAAGTCAGTCAGACTTGATTTAAACCAGTTTTTTACAGAAAGATTCAGCCTTGCTGGCATCTTCTTAATATTGACAAGCAGTCATTACACATACATGTGCACACATGCAGATATGACCCATGTGAAATATTTTGGGAGAAAGAATTGCCCTCAAGAGAACTGGAGCCTTCTTTCAACACCTTTTCCCCTCACCGCTTTGCTGGATGCAACCGGGAGACAGGATCAGGTCATCCAGAGTGATGCTGCTTTGGGGATCCTTCCCAATGACGCCCTCAAGGACAATCTGGAAGGAGGGAGCGAGTCCGAGAGAAACCCTTTTCTTTTTTTACTTATTATGAGCGTTCTCCATTTCCTTTCTGTACCACTTTACATTTGAAAAAAAACACTTCCAAGCAGTTGGCATTAAAACATCCAGAGTAAAGCCCAGGAAAAGACTATATTTCTTTATTCCCCCTATTTATTTGCTGACTATAATATTGCAGAAGTGCTCTGGGAAGGCAGTGTGGCGCAGTCCTTAGTGTCCGAGATCCGGGTTTGAATCCTCACTCAGACAGACCCTGGAGTCTGTCGCCTCCTCTGAGCCTACCTGGCAAGGGTTGGGGGGGGGTGTTGCTGGCAAGGTTATTGTAGGGAAGAAGGGAGGAGAAAGGGGGCAATAAGAAACCTTTCCTTCCTTGGAGGTTTGGAAGAAGAGCTTGGAGAGTTGGAGCTGAGATTGCTGTCTTGCAGGGGGTTGGACTAGATGACTGCTGGGGTCCTATTTTTTTGAAATAAGCCCTTCTGCTTATGGGCCCAGCCGGAGGGAGATGTGGCCAACCTGGCACCAAATGCACCTGGCGAATGTCGAACCCTGAAGTCAGGGCAGGGCAGGGCAGGGCAGGGCAGGGCAGAACCCGCCATCTGGGCTGCCAAATTCCTGGCGCCGGCAGCGCTCCTCTGCCTTTACAGGGATTGGGGGTACCTGGAAGTCCTCAGTGCCGTTGAAAGTGGCTTTGTGGGGGAAGCAGAAGTTGGCCAGGTCGCCGGCACGGCTGAGGATCAGCTCCCTCTTCGTCTCTGTCTGGGAGTAGACGTTCAGGCGGTTGGCGTCCGACCCGTGCAGGTGGGCATAGAGCACCAGCTGGAAGGGAAACGTAGCGCTAGAGCCGAGGGTCCGAGCCATTCACCAGTACAGGGGCGGCCGATATTCTTCATATTCAATAATCAGTATTGACCCATATTTCCGTAGAAAACAAATAGTAAATAATTATAATAAGCTCCTCCCATATTTCTGCAAATAATAAATCGTAAATTATGATGATAATGATAATGACAGTGGACTCACATGGCAGGACCCGTTCGCCACCAAGGTGGGGTAGATGAAGTACCCTGGGAGAGAGGAGCACAAAAGAGGGAGCTGAGGCACAGCCAGTGAGATGCCACCCCAAGATCAAGATTTATTCGTCACTGTGACCCCAACGTAAGAAGTTTGTAAAGCTCTGTTATACAATCACAAAATCTATAAATATATGTGTCAGGGCAGTTGGTAGAATACAAGACTCTACCATTAATAGACTCTACCTTTATTATTATTAATAATAATAATAATAATAATAATAATAATATATTTATACCCCGTCCATCTGGCTGGGTTTCTCCTCTTAATCTCAGGGTCGTGGGTTCGAGCCCCAATTTGGGCAAAAGATTCCTGCCTAGATGACCTGAGGTGTCCCTTCCAACTCGGTAATTCTAGAATTCTGTGATTCTATGTCATCTATAAAGACACATACATTGCATATAGATATTCATTTTATATCTATATCTATATCTATATATGCACACATATGCATATATCAATTATATTTATAAATCTATACACGCGTATCTATACACACATATACCCATATATCCATATTATTTATTTATTTATATACAAACGCATATACATATGTAAATACACATTTCATTTACATATATATATATATATATATATACACACACACACACACACACACACACACACACACCCATATACACACACACACACACACACACATATACACATCCATTTTATTTATATTTATACACATATATGCCTATAGTTATGCTCATGGAACAGAGCTATTTATTATGTGTATCTCTGCCTATAAATTATCTCTATGTTTAAATGATCTCTATCTATGTCAATATCATGCCCCCCCCACGTATAAATGAGCTCAGAAAGATAGTTGTGAGCTCCTGGAGGTGCAGAACTCTGCACATGCCCCGAGTTGGTAAGACTTGATTCAAATCATTTCTTTACGGAAAGATTCAGCCTTGCTGGCATCCTCTACATATTAACAACCAGCACCCACCTTCCGGCGTGTTGGTGGTGTGGTCGCGGGTGGGACGGGCTGGGGACGACGGCACCTGGGAGCTGCAGTTCCTCGCCCAGGAGAGGTTCTGGTTGGCACCCGCTGTCCACTTGCACCAGTCCTCCTCGAAGGGGCACGAGAGGAAGGTCTCTGGGGGAGAAAGGCAGGTGAGGGGGGGTCCCAAGGTGCCTTTTCCGCCCTCCCCCCTTCCGGTGGCGCCCATGCCCCCCCCCCGGCCCCGACTGCTCACCGCAACCCTGTTCGTCGCTGCCGTCGCTGCAGTCCTCGGTGCCATCACAATGGCGGGCAGGGGCCACGCAGCCTCTTGGCAGGCACGGGCGCTCGTTTGGGGCGCAGCTCCGGGGACCTGGAAATGTTGGGACGGTGAATGGGGAGCCTCCAAGCCCAGAGGCAGTCTATCTGGTTGGCAGGGTTTTGAGGAGGCGGAAAAGAAAGCCTTACTTTGGGGGCCACAGTTCCTGAACTGTACATCGTCCAGCGCCACGCTCGCCACCGAGGAGAAGGTCACCTGTGGAGGGGGAGGCAGCGCTCTTGACATGCTCCGGAGAAGGAGCAGGCCGGGGAGAGCGAGGAGCCCAAGACCCACCTGGAAAGCGCCACGGACTCTTCCAGTGTAGGCCAGCAGGGGGCGCCAGGCACCAGAGGACGAGGCGGGGCTTCGCCACAGGGGGACAACGTGGCCGCCATGGCTCAACTCCAATGTGAAGCTCCTGTTGAATCCTGCAGGGGAAGGGAGGAGGGGTGAGGGACCCGAGGGTCATCTAGTCTGACCCCGGTGAGGATTGCAGATTGCCATCTCGTCTCAGCCGCTCTCGTTTTTATCAGTCCCCAATGGGGGCAGGAAGCAGGGCATCAGTAAATGTCAAGATAAGAATGATCAGGATGGTATTTCTTTACACCGACCTTACCAGGTTGGTCAGTAGTCTGGAAATCAAGAAATACTAATTATATGATACGATACATCCTGCAGTTTAGAAACGTATTATGTAATATTGATATGCAATTATGAGAACTGGGCCAGGCGGCATTTCCCCCACCACACCGGGGAAAAGGCCGAGCAGGTGGCTCTGCACCTGTTGGATTTCTGACCGCCAGCGCCCCAAGCTTACCTGTCTCGGCCATGCTGTACCAGGCGCGGAGCTCACAGGTTGAGGCTGCGTCGCTCAGGGTCGGGGAGCGGAGTCGGGCAGGGGCGGCAGGCGGCTTGGCTCGCTGCTCTGAGGTGCTCATGTACCAGCCTGAAGGGAGGTCGGGGGGCGCCAGGTCAAATGGGTGCTCTAACCGCTAAGCAATGCTTCCCCTCCCTTCAAATGAAGCACGTTTACCCTGGTCGGTGCCCAGCGTGTGGTCGAAGGGGGGGTTGGCGCCGCGCGCCCAGCCTCCGCCCCGCCCTGGGTGCCACCGGTACCCAGACGTGCTGACGTCCTCCCAGCCGCAGGTGGTGCCTTCAAAGTCGCAGGCCAAGGCGGCACCTGGCAGTGCCAGCCCATTCCGGTAGCCTGGAAGGAGAAGGAATCAGGTGCCCTGAGCAAGCTACAGTTCCCAGCATTCCGAGCACCAATTGCTGTTAGGAGACCCCTGTTCCCCCCCCATGAGCTACAGTTCCCAGGGAAGAGAAATGGGCTTGGGAACTGTAGTTCTGTCAAGGGAATCGCAACCCTCAACGCCCAGAGCAAGCAATCGTTTTCAGGGTGCTTTGGGGGACATTGTGGGAACTGTAGCTTGTTCAGTTTCCCAAGGAGACCCTCTCGGAGCTATAACTCCCAGAGTTTCCTTGGAAAGGCAGTGCAGAATATTCTCCTTCCATAGGAAACTACAGTTCCCAGGGTGCTTTGAGGGATGTCAAGATGGGTTAAATCACTCTCTGCGAGGGGAATCGAGGCACGACTCACCGATTCCTTTGGTGACGCCAAAACTTACCGCAATGGCTCTCATCAGAGCAATCCCAGCGGTCGCAGGCAAAGTTGCAGGTGCTCACGCTTGAGTTCCCATAGGCGCCCCAGCTAGGAAATGGAGACCCAGCTAGGGGGGAAAAAGGGGGAAAGTGCCATTAAAAGGAGAGGAAGTGTGAGAGAGACAGTGAGCATCCTAGAATGGGAGAGATGGAAGGACCTCAAGGGTCATCTACTCCAACCCGCTGCTCAGAGCTATAATTCCCAGGACTTTGGGAATTGAGAGAGGGAAGAGAGAGAGGGACAGGATTCGCAGCCCCCATCTCCCTTCGCCCCCCCCGGCTCACCCCAGCCCAGCAGGGCACCCCACAGCACCCACAGGCGCGCCATCCTCCCAGCAGCGCCCAGCAGGACTTCGACCTCAACTTATCTGCGCGCCCGCAGGGCGAGGCGGGCAAAAGGCCGGCGGGGCGGAGGCAGAAACCAGGACTTTGGTCCCTGCACCCTAAAGGACGCCGGGGGACCCACAGGAATCCACTTTGTGGGACTACCCTGGGCTCCCAGGCGCCTCTTCTGCTCTGGCAAAGCCTCCTGGGCCAGGGAGCCTGGAAGCAGCGCTCAGGGAAACGCTGCGAGGAGGAGGAGAAAAAGGAGAATGCTTATAATGAGGATAATCAATAATAATAATAATAATAATAAACCTTAACTATAAGATTATATATACCGTATTTTTTGCTCTATAAGACTCACTTTTTCCCTCCGAAAAAGGGAGGGGAAATGTCTGTGCGTCTTATGGAGCAAATGCAGGCTGTGCAGCTATCCCAGAAGCCAGAACAGCAAGAGGGATTGCTGCTTTCACTGCGCAGCGATCCTTCTTGCTGTTCTGGCTTCTGAGATTCAGAATATTTTTTTCTTGTTTTCCTCCTCCAAAAACTAGGTGCGTCTTGTGGTCTGGTGCATCTTATAGAGCGAAAAATACGGTATATAATACAAATTATTATTATTATCATTATCATTATTATATTTAATAATATATAATAGTAATAACAAGGAGGAACCAGCCCCCTCAGGCACCGTTGGGACCCCTCCCTGAGGGGATTTTTGGGGGGGGGGCCTCCGGCCTTCCTTCTCCGCAGGAACCCCCAACGAGGTGCCCACTTCACGAGGGAGACCAGCGCCACCCAACGGCCAGGCTAGGCCCCACTGCCCTCAACCAAAATGGCGGCGGTGGCGCATCTTCTGCCCTTTCTTCCAACCTCCGGTCCGTTTCCCTCTTTCCAGTCACGTTGCCGTCGTCCAAATGCGCCCCCCCCCCCCGCCACGACCCCTTCGCTCAACGCACGCGCCCAGCAGTCGCAGCAACAATAAAAATCTCGGCAGCAATAGGTCGGCCTTTTGGCCAATCATAGGTCGGGTTGTGGGCGGGGCCAGCCGTTTGGCGCTTTTTCTCCTCATCTGTTTCTCCTCAGCGTTTCCCACGCCCTTAACGTGAAGGAAGCTTGTAGGTTTTGTCGTGTTTTTAATACTGTATTCTGTTGGGAGCCACTCACAGTGGGTGGGAAATAATAATAAATGATTATTATCATTGATTTTTAAATTATTATTATTATTATTATTGTTATTGTTATTATAAAAGGGTTAGGGAAGTTTGTAATTATTACGTTTTGTCGCGTTTTTAATATGCTGTTGGGAACAGCCCACAGTGGCTGGGGAAGGATAATAAATTATGATTATCATTAATTTTTAAATTGTTATCATTATTCTTATAATTGTTATTATAAAAGGCTTAGGGAAGTTTGTGCTATATTATGTTTTATTGTTTTTTAAAATATTCTGTTGGTCACTGGGAAATAGTAATAAATTATTATTATCATTAAATGTTAAGTTATTATTATTATTATAAATCACACCCACCGAAGTGGGACATGGCCTCTTCCCCCCTAAGCGTTAACAGTATAGTATTTTTATTTATTCGAATTTTGGCGGGGAAGCTCCCCTTGGCTACAGCAACTCCAGAGTAACTGGCTGTGAGTTCAGATCTCCATAGCTTTCCCCTTCAGGCCGCTTTTGTGAGCCGAACCAAGGGTGACCAAGCAATGTATTGAAAACTGGATCTGAACAATGTATTGTTCACATGAACCACTGCTTTAAGCAGTGTTTTTGTAACCAGGTAATTCCTCAAGATCCTAATTCCTTCACTTATTATGAAATGCAATCCCCTTGTGGTTCATTCGCAGATTCCTGCCTTGCAACGGGTTGGACTGGAAGACCCTTGGGGTCCCTTCCGGCCATATACACCATTATATGATTCTTGGGAAAGTGCTTCAGAAAGAATAAACGGGGGGGGGGGGGGACATGTTTCTTCGAGTTAGTCGTATGATGGCTTACAGGGAAGGGAGGCTCCTTTCCCACTTTATTATTTCTTCAATCTGTGCTTGACATATTATATGTCTGCTTTTACGTGGACCCCCTCTTTCCCTTCTTGTGAAAATAATCGACCCTACTGATATTTCTTAGGTCTGTATGGGCTCTGCTGAATTTCTTCTCTGAGGAGGAGGAAGCTTCGCCTGAGGAACGGAGAAGAGGAGGTGGAGGAAAAGTCAGCTGCAGGCATGAAGGTAATAGGGGAAGAAATACAAATTAACATATAACACTTAAGAACATTTTTAAACAACCCCACTCCTGATATATCACACCCACCCAAATGGGGCTTGGCCTCGTCCCCCCTAACCAGCATAGTAAAAATACAGTAAAGTATTTTTATTTATTTGATTGGAGTAGGGCAGCACCTCCTGGCTTCACTCATGTTGGTGAGGTTTGTCTATTTTTCCTTTTCTTATTAGGCTATCTAAAGGTGACAAAGCAATGTGTTGAAAACTTAATTTCTTCAGATGAACCATTGTTTTAACCAGGTAATTACTCAAGGCACCGATTCTTTCACCTATCAATTTATCCACATAATCCAAGCGGAGATTAATTAGCATCCAAAAGTGGTACACTTGCACATTACATCTTAAGATAAATGTTTTGGAAAAGGCATAAATTAAAAAAGATAATTAATTTGCAAGCAAATACTTGAATGCCCAGTGAATTAGATAGGCAGTGAGCTGGCTTATTTGTCTAATGGAGCATCCCAAAACCCAGTTTGGGTCTATAAGACCGAGTTTGCCCCTTCCCCCCAGCCTTAACGGCAACCCTCCATTGCTTTCTGTTTGATTTTTTAAACAGATACTCTGAATTGAACACCACAAGAATAAATAGGGATCAGCCCCTGCTGTAGTGGCCAGCACTAAAAGCCATTTGAGTAATTCAGATCAATAAAGTAGGAATAATTAATATTTACAAACCAGCAACTTCACACCAGTTTTGGACACTTGCAGCAACTTGCAATGTTAAGAGAGGTGCTCTAAATAAAAGCACTTTCTACATTTATGAGCCTTCAGAGTAGGCTCATGTTTTGTCCTTTGCCTGGAGGTATAAATGTTGTTAGCATATGTGCAATCACCCCAAGAACTTCAGGCCTGCTCCTGACTGTCAAAATGCTCCTGGAGAGGCTGTAAGCAGCACTTCCTCTGCTCTCAGTCAGCAAAAGAGGATGGCAAGGTGTGCTTCATGATGTAACTTAATTTGCAGCTGCAGGAGAAGTGTGGATCCCTCAGCCATACCTAAATAGCCTTCAAAGTGCCATTTAAGAGTGCAACAGCTAGCTGTGATGTGGACACAAAGGTTGTGAGGTTGTTCCCCGTAAGGGACACCTGCAAATTCCTGCCTTGTAGCAGGTTGGACTGGATGACCTTCGGGGTCCCTTCACGATATATACTCACCCACTCACCCACCGTCATACGATTCTTTGGAAAGTGCTTCAGAAAGAAGATAGAGAAATAGCATTCCTTTAAGTTAGTTGTAGTTGTTGGCTTTTTGCAGCATGGTAGCACTGCAGAGAGCTTGCTGGGGAGACCATGCATTAAAAAGGGACTCAAAAATAGCTTAAACAAGGTTTTAATTACAAAAACAAAAGCCCCATTTACACTAAATATATTAACAAACAAACATGACCCAAACACCAACCCATCCCCAGGGTAATGGGAGAGCTAGGTGCTGCTCCTTATATACTACACCCAATTGCCAACACAGCTTAATCAATACAACTCAACAGCACCTGCTATGTTTCACAGCTGTAAAGCTGGGTCTCGTTATCTTGCTCTGGCCCTTGCTCTGGCCCCTTAAAGACATACACATCGGGTGGAACAGTGATGAACCTTTACATTTAAAGAAACCATTCAACAATGCAGAGGGTCGCAAGGATAGCTGGCTAGCCCCAGCTGGATCGTCTCCTTCCAGCTGTCCAGCTGCGAAGATCCATCTGCCTCTGCTCCGATGTAAATCAGCAACCCAGGCTTCAAAGCCAGGGCACACTATATCAGCCGAGCAAACTGCACACACAGAATAGGCGTGAGGCTTGTGGAAGCATACCACAACTATGGATTTATTAATCATAAATCAGGACAAACAGACTCCGCTAACCCAAAAATAGTACCTCGGGTTAAGAACTTTGCTTCAGGATGAGAACAGAAATCGTGCTCCAGGGGCACGGTGGCAGCAGGAGGCCCCATTACCTAAAGTGGTACCTCAGGTTAAGAACAGTTCCAGGTTAAGAACGGACCTCCAGAACATATTAAGTTCTTAACCCGAGGTACCACTGTACACACAACAAAAGTTCCCAGCAAATTGTGCTGGTATGTAAACAGACATGTGACATGCAACAGTTCCATGTCTGCAACTAAAGGTGGAATTTTCCAGCAGTAGATAGTCAGGCTTGGTTCCTGAAATGAGTAGGCTTCCTTGTACACACTTCCAGGCAGAAGGGGTAGATGGAGAGAACACTTTGTGTAGGGTCAGGGTCAGGGTGAGAATATGTATAATCACCCTGAAGGATTCAGGGCTCCTCCTGACTGTTGAAATGCTCCCAAGGAGGATGTAAGCAGCACTTCCTCTGTTTCCAGTCAATAATAGTGAATGGCCATGTTTTCTTCATGGCTGAACTTGCAGCTCCAGGAGAGGTGTGGATCCCTGAACTATACCTAAATAGCCTTCAAAGTGCCATTTAAGAGTGCAATATTTGCTGCACAACCAAGGTTGCGGGGTTGTTCCCCATAAGGGACTCCTGCATGTTCCTGTATTGCAGCAGGTTGGACTGGATACCGTTGGGGTCCCTTCCAGAGGTCATATACCATCATTTTTCTTTGGAAAGGGCTTCAGAAAGAAGAAACAGAAATAGCGTTCCTTAAAGTTAGTTGTATGATGGGAAAGTAGCCTCACTTCCTGTGAGTTACCTTATTCCTTGCACGTTAATTTGAGCTTGGTGCCTCTTTTTACACGGACCCCTCTTTCAGTTCTTCTGGAAAAAATTCGCCCCCCTGTTATTTCTCAGGTCTCTATGGGCTGTGCTGAATTCCTGCTCCCAAAAAGGGGGAGGAGAAGGAAGGGGGAAGTTTCGCCTGACAAAGGGAGGGAGAAGAGGGGCCCTCCTGCTGCTGCCTTGTGGGGCGAGAGGGGGAAAGGGGATCTTTTGACACAAGATCCAAACAGCTCCTTTAACCAAACACTTGATCCACCCAGCAGTGTGGCAGCCAAAGGGGAAGGAAAGCAGCTCTTAGACATCTCCATGCAGTTGCAAAAGGTGGGTTGCCTGTATGGGCTCTGCTTTATTCCTTAATGTTGAATGCTACATCTGCCTAAGTCCACTTCCATCCACTGGAAAAGATTCTTAGTAGTAAGGAGTAAAGGGAACAGTGGGAAATACCTAGTTATTTCTATAAATTGGTAAGACCGCACAGTCCCTACACCTCCACAAGGCCTGGTCCTTTTAAGAGGTCCAGCCTGCCTTCTCCAAAGGTGGATTTCAGCTCAAACAGCTGGTTGAAAAGTTTCTTTTCCTCTCCTCACACCCGTAACCCTGGCAACCTCCCAGATAACAGTCTCTATTCCTCGATGGTCAGGGAGATTGCATTTTCCCACGGTATCTCAAAAAATTGAAACCTAGTATTTAGTAATCTCTTAATACAGTTTTGGGATGTGTATGTGTGTGTGTCAGCCCTTAAAAATCAACTGTGCAGTGTGGCTCACAGCAGGGGCAAAGCAAAGATTTAAGAGTGTCACCAGCTATGCACATTCGCGTACACACATATAGGCTGGGAGTCCCTATGCCACAAGACCAAGTGGGCTGAGCCCCGGTAACGGGGGCCAAAACCAAAAGCCAGTTGAATCATTTACATTTACAAATACTGGCACGTATGTGTGTGTTTTGGAAATTTGTAGCAGTTTGTAACGTTAAGAGAGATGTTCTGAAGAAGAGCACTTTATACACTCATGAGCATTCCCTTAACGTAGGCTCATTTTTTTTCTTTTTCTGAAGGTATAAATGTTCTTAGCATATGTACAATCACCCCGAAGGCTTCAGGCCTCCTTCTGACTGTTGAAATGCTCCTGGGGAGACTGTAAGCAGCACCTCCTCTGCTCTCAGTCAGCAAAAGGAGATGGCAAGGTGTGCTTAATGGTGTAACTTGCACCTGTAGTTTAAATTGCCTTAAAAGTGGCATTTAATAGGGCAACAATGACAGCACAACCAAGGTTGGTGGTTGTTCTCTTGCATATTCCTGCCTTGCAGTGGGTTGGACTGGATGACCCTTGGGGTCCCTTCCAATATAGATATATACACCATCATATAATTCTTTGGAATAATCATAATCATCATCATCATAAATTTTTATATCCCGCCATCCCCAGCCGAAGCCGGGCTCAGGGTGGCTAACAACAATAAAACAGTACAAAAGTACAGCACAAACAACACTCTAAAATCATTCATTATAAAATTAATTAATTCAAGCCACTGGCAACCATTGGGCCAGAGCTCCGCGAAGATTGCCGAGGGAGGGAGTCAGGCTGTGCCCTGGCCAAAGGCCTGGTGGAACAGCTCTGTCTTGCAGGCCCTGCGGAAAGATGTCAAGTCCCGCAGGGCCCTGGTCTCTTGTGACAGAGTGTTCCACCAGATCGGAGCCACGGCCGAAAAAGCGCTGACTCTAGTTGAGGCCAGCCTAACTTCTCTGTGGCCTGGGACCTTCAAGATGTTTTTATTTGAAGACCGTAAGTTTCTCTGTGGGGCATACCAGGAGAGGCGGTCCCGTAGGTACGAGGGTCCTAGGCCGTATAGGGCTTTAAAGGTTAAAACCAGCACCTTAAACCTGATCCTGTACTCCACCGGGAGCCAGTGCAGCTGGTATAGCACCGGGTGAATGTGATCTCGCAGCGAAGACCCCGTAAGGAGTCTTGCTGCAGCATTCTGCACCCGCTGGAGTTTCTGGGTCAGTCTCAAGGGCAGCCCCACGTAGAGCGAGTTACAACAATCCAGTCTGGAGGTGACCGTCGCGTGGATCACAGTGGCTAGGTCAGGGCGAGAGAGGTAAGGCGCCAACTGCTTAGCTTGGCGGAGATGGAAAAATGCCGCCTTTGTTGTAGCTGCAATCTGCGCCTCCATGGAAAGGGAGGTGTCGAAGATTACACCCAAACTCTTAACGGACGGTGCTGGCACTAATTGCGCCCCCGCAAGAGATGGGAGTTGCCCCCCCAATCCCATATCGTCCCGCCCCAGCCACAGGACCTCTGTCTTCGAAGGATTTAGCTTCAACCGGCTCCCACGTAACCATCCAGCCACAGCTTCCAAACATCTGGTCAGTGTGTCTGGGGCCGAGTCAGGATGGCCATCCATCAACAGATAGAGTTGGGTGTCATCAGCATACTGATGGCAACCCAGCCCAAAATTCTGGACAAGCTGGGCGAGGGGGCGCATAAAGATGTTGAAAAGCATCGGGGAGAGTATCGCACCCTGAGGTACTCCACACACCAAGGAGTGGCGCGATGACAATTCCCCCCAAGCGCCACCCTCTGTCCCCAACCAGAGAGAAACGAGCACAGCCATTGAAGGACTGTGCCCTGGATCCCCACATCAGTAAGGCGGTGGTCCAGAAGTTCGTGATCGACCATGTCGAAAGCTGCTGACAGATCTAGAAGAATCAGCAGCCCCGACCCACCTTGATCCAGCTGTCTACGAAGATCATCTGTTAGGGCAACCAGAGCCGTCTCGGTCCCATGACCAGCGCGGAAGCCGGACTGGAATGGATCCAGAGCCGATGTTTCATCCAGAAACCCACAAGCTGTTCAGCAACCGCTCTCTCAGTCACCTTACCCAGGAACGGAAGATTCGAAACCGGGCGGTAATTGGATAGATCTAAAGGATCTAATGATGTTTTCTTTAAGAGCGGGCGCACCACTGCCTCCTTCAGTTCCCCTGGGAATGTCCCTGTGCCAAGGGACAAATTGATGATATCCCCCCCAGGAGGGCCCGCACCTCGTCTGGACACGCTCTAATCAGCCAAGACGGGCACGGGTCGAGAGGACAGGTGGTGGGCTTTCCAGCTCGGAGGAGTCTGTCCACATCGGCTGGGGATATCCGGTTGAAGTGGTCCAATACTGGACCCGAGGACAGTTGAGGGGCCTCCAGTTCCTTTATTGTATCCAAATTGGCAGGGAGGTCATGGCCGAGCAACAAGACCTTCTCCGCAAAAAAGCTCGCAAATGCCTCACAGCTGTGTGTCAAATTGTTATTTAAATTTGCCTGTCCCTCAAGGGACGTTAAAGACCTGATTATACTAAATAATTGTGCCGGGTGAGAGCTAGCGGATGCAATGGAGGCTGAGAAGTAAGACTTCTTAGCAGCCTTCACCGCCATCTCGTAGGTTTTCATAAAAGCCCTATAAGATGTTCTTGAGGCTCCATCACGGGCACCCCGCCATACTCGCTCTAGCCGTCTGAGGTCCCGCTTCATTTCCCGGAGCTCCTCGGTAAACCAGGGAGCCCGGTTTCTGCAGGGTCGCAGAGGGTGCTTAGGTGCGATCTCATCGATGGCTGCCAGGAGCTGGATATTCCAGCCCTCAACAAGCTCAGTCAATGAGTTGCCAGGGGGAGCAAGGTCCCGCAAGGCTTGGCGGAATCTATCAGGGTCCATCAGCCTCTGCGGGTGAGCCCAAATCGGCTCGCCACCTAAGCAGGGTGGGGGTGGAAAGTCAATCCTGGCTTTCAGAGCATAGCGATCAGACCATGGCACCTTCATCGAAGGAGACATGATCACATCTATACCTACGCCAAAGATCAAATCCAGCGTGTGGCCTGCTTGATGTGCGGGGCCCGAAACAAACTGGGAGAGCCCTAGTGTCGCCATGGAAGACACCAGGTCCAGAGCCTGTGAGGAGGGAGTGGCATCAGCATGGATGTTGAAGTCCCCCAATACCAATAGGTTAGGGAACTCCAAGGCCCAGCCGGCCACCGCCTCCAATAGGCCTGACAGGGTGGCTGCTGGTGCGCTAGGTGGCCGGTACACCAGCCAGACAGCCAAGCTCTCCTTGGAGCCCCACACTAGGCCAACACATTCAATGCCGGGGATCGATGGCGATGGTAGAGCCCTGAAAGGACAATCTTCCCGGATTAATAATGCTACCCCTCCCCCCCCGGCCCACAGTCCGCGACTGGTGGAGGACAGAGAAACCCGGGGGCGCCATCTCTCGTAAGGTAACTGTTGCCCCTTCGCGCACCCAGGTCTCCGTCACACAAGCCATGTCAACCCCTTGCGAGATAAAGAAATCTCGCAGGGTGGCGGTTTTGTTGCCTATAGACCTGGCATTGCACAGCACCAGTGACGGAGGTGAGTAATCCTTGCTCACCCTACCCTCGTCCCTCGGGATGAGGCACAGATTGGAAGGGGTACGAGCATATCCATATCTCGATCCCCTTCGCCTATAACATCTGCCCCCACCACCATACCTCCCTCGCCCCTCCACTGTAGCAATCTCAAGCCTCATAGTAGCCTCCATTGATGGCAATTACTGTTATTCTTCCGCAGCCTAAAACAATAAAACCTTAAAACAATAAAAACAAAAAACAAAAGCAACCCAGAAAACAATAAAACAATACAAATAAAAACTGCAAAAATTACAAATTCATCAAAATCTAACAAATTCCCAAGCCCACCCAAACATCCATCCCACCCCCATATATAAAAATCTAAAGGGAAAGGGAGATTTTAAAACATGTTAAAAAGAACTCTGCACCCCTCCGGGTCCTCCTGGGCAGTAGCAGCATCAGTGGCAACAACCGTCCTTGTGAGGCCCCACCCTGGACCAGATAGTAGGTGGCAGGAGCAGTCCTTGTGAGGCCTGTCAGGCCCCGCCCTGGGCCAGGTGGTAAGTGGCAGGAAGGAGCAGGGCCCTCAGGCACTCACACAGGCGAGTCCTCCTGGGCAGCAGGGCAGTCCTTTTGAGGCTTCAGGCCCCGCCCCAGGCCAGATGGTAAGTGGCAAGAACAGGGCCCTCAGGCACTCACACAGGGGTGTGTGCTTAGGAAGTTAGGGTTGGGGTTAGGGTTAGGGTTGGGTTAGGGTTGGGGTGAGGGTTAGAGGGTTAGGTTTAGAGGGTTAGGGGTTGGGGTCAGGGTCAGGGTTAGAGGGTCAGGGTCAGGGTTAGGTTTTAGGGTTAGAGTTGGGGGTTGGGGTTAGTTTTAGTGTTAGGAAGGTCCCATTTTCCTTTAGGACGTCCCTATTTTTGTGGGAGAATGGTTGGAGATGGACTAGGATGTCCCAATTTTCATCAGGGTAATATCAGAGGTGTGACAGGATGTCCCTATTTTCACTGGAGAAGTGTTGGAGGAGATTGACTATCTATGGAATCATAGTTGTTTGCATATATGAGATCTCTGAGTATAGGGTGGTTTATCAATTCAATAAATAATAATAATATCATAGACATCTTTTATTTTTCTTCGTTCCCTTTCCATGCTCCTTTGATTTCCTTCTGTTGAAATATTCTCAATAGAATAATAATAATAATAAATTTTTATTTTTATCCTGCCCTCCCCAGCCAAAGCTGGGCTCAAAAGCAGAATCAATGTGTGCTTTTGAGGCGCCAACAGGATGCTTCTTCCGCCCAGCTGGATAAAAGCAGCCAGTTTAAAAAAGGTAAAAAAAGAAGACAGGTGAATCATAGAATATTTTTATTGGCACTCTGAGTTCGGTTTGCAGAGGGCATGGAAAGATCTGGCGAGATGCAGGAATTCGGCTCAGAGGAGCTGGAAGGTCCCGTTCTGGATGGCCTGCACATAATAATAGTAATAATAATTTATTATTTATACCCCACCCATCTGGCTGGGTTTCCCCAGCAAGGAAAAAGAAAGGGACCCTTTGGACTCGGTTCAAGCTGAGAGACATTCCAGGTGAAATCGCCTTCCTTGTAATAATAATGATAATAATAATTTTTATTTCTATCCTGCCCTTCCCAGCCAAGGTTGGGCTCAGGGCGGCTAACAAGCAATCATAAAAACAAGTTGAATGAAGACAAGTTAAAAACAAGATGGAAAATACAACATTAAAATATTGAAACATTAAAATATTAAAATATCTCCTTGGAGGAGAAGTGGAGTTTGGATTGGATATCCCTCTTGAAGAGTCTCAAAGCGGCTCGCAATCTCCTTTCCCTTCCTTCCCACAACAAACACTCTGTGAGGTGAGTAAGGCCGAGAGACTTCAGAGAAGTTGACCAGCCCAAGGTCACCCAGCAGCTGCATGTGGAGGAGCAGAGACTCGAACCCAGTTCCCCAGATTACGAGCCCACCACTGTTCCACACTGGAGGTTTCGAAGCCTAGGTTGGGGTCCCATCCAGCTCAACTGTTTCTAGGATTCCATGTTGAGACTTCTGCCCCAAATGGGGGTTGGGATAAATGACCCTCGGGTCCCTTCCATGAGTATTCTTGGTCACTCAGCCAAAAAAAGGCCATCCTTTTTGGCAACCCGATCGTACCTTCTTCCAGTTTTCCCTTCTGGAGGTTCGGTCCTCGTCCGTCCTCCTCTTCATATCGGCACAATCTGCAAACACAACCACAACTTTGAGATTCCCGCCTTTCAGTCGGGTCCCTGACAGCTCTCATTCTACGATTATATAGTTCCTCCTGTGGCTAGAGGCCCATATGATTGATTGATTGATTGATTGACGTGAACCGAAGGGTCCGCTGGAGGAGGTTAGGCAAGGAACTGGGCGAAACGGAGGCTTCAGTGCAGGAATCTCTTCTTTTTTCCCCCAATTTTTTTTTATTGGTTTTCACAACATTATAAACAAACCAACACATAAGACAAACAAACATAAATCATAGCTGTCAGGGGTTCAGGAGCAGAGGCACAGGAAAGGGAGGAAATAGAGAGCGAGGGGGAGGAGTCCGAAGGAAATGTTAGCGATGACAGCGGTCCGAGGTCTCTGAGTCTTTCCAGCGAATCGGAAGATTCACAGAAAGGGGCTCCCTTGGTCAGAGCAAGGGGGTGCCGCGGGGGACACCGCAGGAAGAAGGGGCCAGAGGGGACTCAGAGAGCAGCAGTTGGAAATCAGGACCAGCGTCCACACCAGAGTGCAGTAGGGGGGAGGGGTCCCAGGCATCGGGATCAGGCGGCGCACTGCCAGTGGGAGGACATGAGTCAGGATTGGCCACGCCTCCATCGGGGAGCGAGGAAACGGTCGAGAGGAAGGTTGAAGGCTGGGCGCGCGCGCCCAGTTCAAATGTACAGGAGGGCGGCGCAGTTGGCAGCCCGGATAGGGAGCCAGGTCCCAAAGCCCGCCGAAAAGAGGGGGAGGAGTCAGGGGGGTCAACGTCAGCGTCAGAAGAATCCAGGAAGGAAGGGACCCCGGGGGGTAGCAGGACCCAGAGGAGAAAGGAGAGACGTAAGAGGTGGAGTAAGGCTAGAATCTTAAACTGGTGTACAGGGGCGGAGACTCAGATGGAGCTTCGCCGATCTAACCCCTAGACGTAGAGCTGAGGCGCTGCGGCTTGAAAATGGAAACTGTACTTCAATAAAGACTTTTGTACATTACTGCCGGCTAGCGTTGGTCCTCTGTGAGCTGGGACCTGGAGCCAGCTCTGACAGTAAGCTCCATCCCTAAAAGTTTTGCACCAAAAACCTCGTAACGTGAGTGGACGCAGCGAGGGACGAAGATTGGTGCTTCGCGAGCTCACAAAAGTCAGGCAAGATGACTACAGAACAGCAACTAGCAGCCCTGCAAAATGCAGTGACACAACTCAACGCGGAGGTACTCGCATCCAGGAAAAGGGAAGAGGAAGCGGCTGCCGCCTGCAGGGATCTCCAAGCCAGGTTGGAAGTGCTTGCTAAGCAGGGGCAACCGGGACCCAAATCAGAGGGGATTGGGCTGGGGAAAAGAGGAGGCAGCCTGGTATCTCATTTCGATGGGAATTTGCAGCAGTACCCTAACTTCCGAGCAGGCGTGCTGTTTGCGCTGGAACTGCTGGATAAAGACTTTAGAGATGAGCAAGAGAAGGTGGGGTTTATCTTGTCCCATTTGCATGGGGAAGCTAAAGCGTGGCTGCGCAATCTGTGGAGAGATAAGGATCCGGCGCTCCAAAATGCGGATGCATTCATTAAAGCGATGGATTCGTGTTTTTATCAAATAGAGACATTGATATCGCCAGAAAAGACATACATGGGCTCAAACAAGGCAGAGCCAGTGTAAGGCAGTACCATTCCCGCTTTTTGCATTAGTCCATGCGCTGGGATGGGAGAAGGATTCTGCCCCAGCCAGAGACCTTTTTGGGAAGGCTTGAATGCAAATGTGAAAGATGAGATTGCAAGGGGGGAGAGACCAAAGAGCACTCAGGAGGTTGTCCGGCGGGCGCTGCAAATTGGGGTGCGTCTGGAAGAACGTCCATGGAACAGAGAAGAAGGACGTTGGGGACGTACGCCAGTGAGAGCACCTCCCTCTTTCCCAAGGATGCAGCGCGTGTGCAATCCCCACCTCCGCAAGGAGGGAGAGCAACCGATGGAGATTGGAGGCGCCAGGGCTCAGTCAGCAACCAGAGCCCTAACACCGGGAGCAGTCAAGCGAAGCCTCCTAGAGGGAACAGGAAGTGCTACATCTGCGACAGTGCTCAGCACATGGCGAAAGAGTGTCCCCAGAGGCTCCACAAGCACACTGCAGCCTCAGCAACAGTAACAGACGCAACTCAGCAGAGAGAACCACAGCAGGGAAACGACAGAGTCTGGTTGGAGGAAGAGGCACTGGGGCCCAGCCAGACAAGTCAATGAAGCCGTCCCCAGAGATTTTGCAGCCCACAGACCCCCTCCCGCCCAAACCAGTGGTGCAGCTCACAGCATCGCTCCAACTACCCAATGGACTCACTATGGAAGTGCCGATTACCATTGACTCTGGTAGTAACGCAGACTTCATAGGACTGGATTTCATTCAAGAACACAACATAGCACTCCTGCCAGCCACGCTGCCTCTGAAAGTTGTCACGGTGGATGGCAGGGAATTGCTGGGGGGGCAGGTGGTGCAGCAAACGCCTCCGATGGTGATGCAAATTGGGAATCACCGAGAAGTCATCAGCTTCAATGTCACCCAACTGTCGGACACGCCTATAGTATTAGGCATGAGTTGGCTGCACAGGCACAGCCCAGCATTGGCGTGGTACCAGCGACAACTGACCTTCGGCTCCTCATACTGTGCGGAACATTGCATTCTGCCTAGCCCGGAAGGGGAAGAGGATGACCCGCAGCTACAATTAGGCACGCTGCAAGCAGTGCCACTCAAGTACGCAGCGTTTTTGGAGGTTTTCTGCGAGAAGGAAGCGGACAAGCTACCTCCCCACAGGTCCTATGACTGCAAGATTGACCTCCTGCCAGGGCGACGCTGCCAACCGGGAAACTGTATTCCATGTCTGAAGACGAGCTGCAGGAACTCAGGGAGTTCATAGACCTCAACTTGAAGCGCGGTTTCATCCAGGAGTCGAAGGCAGTGGGGGGCAGTCCTGTATTCTTTGTGAAGAAGAAGGACACGCCCCAAAAAAGGCTTGTGGTGGACTATAGAATTTTGAACTCGAAAACCAAGCCCACAGCCTTTCCCATGCCCAAGATAGATGACCTGCTCGCAACGGTGAGGAAAGGACGCGTTTTCACAAAGTTGGATCTGCGAGGGCGTACAACCTGATTCGCATACGGGAGGGCGACGAATGGAAGACTGCCATGTTCACGCCCCTGGGCACCTATGAATACAGAGTTATGCCCTTTGGATTACAAAATGGCTCCCACTGTTTTCAAGCCTTCATGCATCACGTATTGGCGGGTCTCCTCTACAAGAAATGCGTCTGCTTCCTGGACGACATCCTGATATTTTCAGAATCAGAGGAGACCCACGAGGGAGACGTCAAGGAAGTTCTGCAGAGACTGCAGGAGCACAGGCTGTACGCCAAGCTGGAGAAGTGCCAGTTCGACATGAAGGAGGTAGATTTCCTGGGCTACAAGTTGTCGGACAAGGGGCTCGCCATGGACAGCGCCAAGGTTCGCTCAGTGTTGGACTGGAAGAGCCCGCGCAATCGGAAGGAGGTCCAGCGGTTTGTCGGTTTCGCCAACTTTTACCGCAAGTTCATCAAGGGGTTCGCGATGCAGACGGCGGCCATTACCGACACGCTCAGCTCCAAGAAGAAGAAGTTCATCTGGACGGAGCAAGCGGAGCAGTCCTTTCAGAAACTCAAGCGTCTCTTCTCGTCCGAAGAGCAGCTACTGCATGTGAATCCCAGCAGACCGATGAGGGTTGAAACGGACGCCTCAGACAGAGCCGTGGGAGCAGTACTGTTGCAGCAAGACCCGCATGGGGACTGGAGACCGTGTGCCTTCTACTCCAGGAAGCTCAGCAAGTCAGAGCAGAACTACACCATCTGGGACAGGGAGTTGCTGGCCATTCATGCAGCATTCAAGGCGTGGCGGCACTTCCTCATTGGAGCCAAACACACAGTGCAGGTCCGCACGGACCATAAAAACCTGGAGTACTGGCGCACGGCAAGGTTCCTGAACCAGAGGCACATACGATGGGCGGAGTTCTTTGCGGATTTCGACTTCAGGATAGAGTACATCCCAGGCGACAACAACATCATGGCGGATGCACTGTCCAGAAAGCCGCAATACCTCGAGGAGGCGGCACCAGCAGCGGCCAAGCACATTTTCGCACCGAAAGCGTGGGCGTGCGCTTCAGCAACCGTGGACCTGGATGCTGTACGTCGAGCACTGCAGGAGGACCCCTTCGCGCAAGCAAAGATGGCAGAGGTGCAAAGGGGCACGGCGGAGGACGACGAGTTCCAGATACGCGACGGATTGCTCATCCGCAGAGGGCCCTCTACGTACCGGGAGACGACCTCCGCGAAAGTACTGCAGCAGTTGCACGACGCACCCACCGCCGGGCACTTTGGCAAAGAGAAGACGGTAGAATTAGTAGCCAGAGATTTTGGTGGCCCAAGATGCGGGGGAAGTCGCGGATTACGTCTCGAGGTGCGACACCTGCCAAAGGGCCAAGTCAGTGCACAAACCGCCGGCGGGACTGCTCGAACCGCTGCAGACACCGCTCGAACCGTGGGAGAGGGTGGCCCTGGACTTTGTCACGGATCTACCCAGCTCGAGGGGCAAGACGGCAGTGCTAGTGGTGGTGGACATGTTCACCAAAATGGCCCACTTCATTCCGTGCGCGAAGGTGGCCACGGCGGAACAGACCGCCAAACTGTTCATAGACCACGTGTTCAGGGTTCACGGTCTGCCACGGTCTATCCTGTCCGACCGGGGCGACAGTTCATCTCGAACTTCTGGCAGAAGCTGATGGGTTTCCTGAACGTCAAGATCAACCTAGCGTCGGCGAGACACCCGCAGACGAACGGACAAGCGGAGCGAGTCAACGCCATCATGCAGCAGTACCTGCGATGCTACGCAAATCAGCAGCCGGCAACATGGGTGGACTACCTGCCGCTCGCTGAGTTCGCCTACAACAACACGAAGCACGTGTCCACGGGGGTGACACCGTTCTTCGCCAACAACGGGAGGCATCCCAGAACCTTCCCGGGATTAGCGAGAGCGGGGAGGGGGAGCCACAGGCAGCGGAAGCCTTAGCATCAGAGTTGCAGGAGGTTCACGAACAGCTTCGGAGGCAGTTAGAACTAGCAAAGCACGCATACAAACTGCAGGCTGACAAGCACAGAAGGGTTGGGGAAGACATACAGGTGGGAGACTGGGTTTGGTTAGCAGCCCAGGCAGTGCCGGCCAGATCGTTAGCGAAGAAGAAGCTAGGGCATAAGCAGCTAGGACCCTACCAAGTCGAGGCACAGGTCAATCCAGTGGCCTTCCGGTTGACACTGCCGGAGGGATCCAGAATGCACCCAGTTTTCCATAGATCAGTGCTCACGCCCTACAAAGCACCTCATAGATTTCAGGAGCCAGGAACGGCACCAGACCCGTTCAGGGAAACGCCCACAAGGGGGGGGTCGCCAAGGCGGGAACCCGTCAACGAAGTCACAGAGATTTTAGACTCGAGATGGGGGGGAAGAGGGAGTAGAATATCTTCTCGCCAGAGAAGGTACCCCGGCCAGCGCCAACAGTTGGGTGCCAGACCATGCCTTGGACGAACCTTTTCTCAAGGACGAGTTTCATGCCCTTTTCCCACACAGGCCCATGCCAGCCGAGTATTTCGACGACTGGCTTTTCACACCCACATTTTCAGCTAGCACATTCCAGGGGTTCACCTCGGACGAGGAACCGGCACTAGAAACACGTTCCCCGGAGGGATCACCCTCGGGGTCTGCCTCAGACCGTTCCTATTGGTGGGACAATCGACCAGAGGAGCAGTGGCGCAGGAAGTGGCTGGGGGGTCCTTGGCAGGCAACGTCCCCGGAGGAGACCGGGGAGAGACGGACATGGACGTGTTGGGGAGGACCTTGGGTTCGAGCACGGCGGCAAAGAGATGGAAGCAGAGGAAATTGAGGTCGGCGAGAGCACGGAGGACGAGCCGGACTTATCCGGCTGGATGCACGCCACGGGGGACGAACTGTATCCGGCACTCACCCCCACAACGACGGAGCACCCAGTACCCACACCTGAAGGAGGGGAGGGGGTACGGCGGGGCTTCGAGGGGGATGGATGTCAGGGGTTCAGGAGCAGAGGCACAGGAAAGGGAGGAAATAGAGAGCGAGGGGAGGAGTCCGAAGGAAATGTTAGCGATGACAGCGGTCCGAGGTCTCTGAGTCTTTCCAGCGAATCGGAAGATTCACAGAAAGGGGCTCCCTTGGTCAGAGCAAGGGGGTGCCGAGGGGACACCCCAGGAAGCAGGGGCCAGAGGGGCCTCAGAGAGCCGCAGTTGCATATCCGGCCCAGCGTCCACTCCCGCGTGCAGTAGGGGGGAGGGGTCCCAGGCATCGGGATCAGGCGGCGCACTGCCAGTGGGAGGACATGAGTCAGGATTGGCCACGCCTCCATCGGGGAGCGAGGAAACGGTCGAGAGGAAGGTTGAAGGCTGGGGGCGCGCGCCAAGTTCAAATGTACAGGAGGGCGGCGCAGTTGGCAGCCCGGATAGGGAGCCAGGTCCCAAAGCCCGCCGAAAAGAGGGGGAGGAGTCAGGGGGGTCAACGTCAGCGTCAGAAGAATCCAGGAAGGAAGGGACCCCGGGGGGTAGCAGGACCCAGAGGAGAAAGGAGAGACGTAAGAGGTGGAGTAAGGCTAGAATCTTAAACTGGTGTACAGGGGGCGGAGACTCAGATGGAGCTTCGCCGATCTAACCCCTAGACGTAGAGCTGAGGCGCTGCGGCTTGAAAATGGAAACTGTACTTCAATAAAGACTTTTGTACATTACTGCCGGCTAGCGTTGGTCCTCTGTGAGTTGGGACCTGGAGCCAGCTCTGACAATAGCCTTATAGAAAATTACACTGATTAACATTGTTAAGTGACGTCCTCGCTTCCCCATGGTTGAATTTCATTGCATGTCCTTTGAACGGTTTTCCAAATCACAGTTCTTCTAAAATTCAACTTAAACATTAACATCCTTAGATCTTCACATTATGAAATTAAACATATGAATTCATCACTTAACGTAAATAAAATCCTAAGCCAATTAAGTATCTGCAAGCTGTTTTCAGTTAATTTAACTTAACATAGTTAACTAAGACCTAACAGGAAGAGCCTGCCACCAGAAGGAGAAGTATCAGGAAGATTGGATTAAATTTAATTAAATTTAACTAAGTAATCATTCAATTTAATCCACTCTTCCTGATACTCCTCCTCCTCCTGGTCACGGACTCTTCCGGTTAGGTCGGCTAGCTCTGAAAAATCCATCATCTTCAGTGCAGGAATCTCAACACAGAATCATACAATGCCGGAGCTGGGACCCCCAAAGGTCATCCAGTCCAACCCGCAGCAAGGCCAAACCTGCCCCATCTACAGTGGTGGAGTTACTTACGGACGGCAACAATTGCTGCAAAGGGGAGGAAGTACATCCCAGCAGTTCCTGCAACAACAGGCGTCAGGTCCACTGGTGCAGCGCATCCTTGCTCTGTGAAGAAAACAACAGCCAGGCCAAAGTTTTAAGATATTTTTAAAACTCCCCCCCCCCAAACCAGGACTTTAGGGGCAGCAGAATCAGCTGGGAAGAGAGAAGAGGAGTGCAGGGTATGTATTATAATAATAATAATAATAATAATAATAATAATAATAATAATATAGTAATTATTTTAGTAATAATTTTAATAAAAACAATAATTTTAGGTTGGGTGTCCTTGCTTCTCCTACTGCTTTTGTAGGTTTCACAGTATTTGCGCATGGTGATCTGTTGTTATTTTTATTGATTATTGTAAACATTGTGATTATAGTTTTGAGACTTGTGGGTGTAGGGCAGTATACCCATTGAATAAGAAATAATAATTATTATTTCATTTTCCATATGGTACCATATTTTTGGCTCCATAAGATACACTTTTTTCTTCCTAAAAAGTAAAGGGAAATGTCTGTGCATCTTAAGGTCCCTGGAGCTGAATGTGTGGTCCCTGGAGCTGAATTGCACTGGGCCGAAAGCATGGTGATCTGTTGTTATTTTTATTGATTATTGTAGTCATTGTGATTATAGTTTTGAGAGTTGCGGGTATAGGGCAGTATACCCATTAAATAACTAATAATAATTATTATTTCATTTGCCATATTTTATTTTTACTTTATTTTATTTTATTTTTACTTTATTTTATTTATCTGTTTTTCTACGTTGTGAGCCAATCCGTGCCAAATCCCCCCACATTTCAGACGACATCAAATGACATAGAAATTTAAGCCGCCTGCCAGTCTCACCTTCCAGCTTCACCACCTGCCGGATGAGGAGGCTGCACGTCACAGTGACCAAGATCACCCCCGTCGGGGTGCTGAAGTCCACCAGCCGCTGAGCTGCAGGAGAAGAAAGAGGAGGGAATCGAGAACCTGGAAGGGACCCAAAAGCTCTGGAGGGTGGAGGACGCCGCCCAGCCCCGCTGACCAACCTGCCGGGTCGGTGATCTGGTGGATCATGTCCATCTTGAAGGCAACGGTGCCCACGACCAGCAGGGTGACCATCGCGACGTAGATGAGGAGGAACAGAGGCAGGATGAGGGCGGCCGAGAGTCCTGGAGAGGAAGGGTGATGGTGGGATGGTCGAATCGGACGGGACCCCCGTGTCCAACCCCCTAAAAGGCACCTAGTCCTCCTGGGGAGGAAGGGCGATGGTGGGACGGTCGATTCGGACGGGACCCCCGTGTCCAACCCCCTAAAAGGCACCTAGTCCTCCTGGGAAGGAAGGGCGATGGTGGGATGGTCGAATCGGACAGGACCCCCGTGTCCAACCCCCTAAAAGGCACCTAGTCCTCCTGGAGAGGAAGGGCGATGGTGGGCCGGTCCAGTCGGACGGGACCCCCACGTCCAACCCCCTAAAAGGCAACTAGTCTACTAGATCCTTCCAAAGGAAAATCAGACTTTTTTTAAGGCTGTCCATTCCTTTTAAGCCCAGTATTCCTTTAAGCTCAGTATTATGCGGATGAGACCCAGCTCTACCTCTCTTTCCAATGGGAACCAGCGAAGGTTTTGTGTGAGTGCCTGGAGACGGTTGGAGGCTAACAGATGGGGGAGGTTGAATCCTGACAAGATGAGGTTGAATCCTGACAAGGCAGAAGGACTGTTTTGGGGGGACAGGAGGCGGGCGGGTGTGGAGGACTCCTGGTCCTGAATGGGGTAAATGTGCCCCCGAAGGACCAGGTGCGCAGCCTGGGAGTCATTCTGGACTCACAGGTGTCCATGGAGGCGCAGTTCCATTCTGTGTCTGTTTACCAGCTCCATCTGGGCTGCAGGATGAGACCCTACCTGCCCGAGTGGTGCATGCTCTGGTTATCTCCCGCTTGGACTACTGCAATGCGCTCTACGAGGGGCTACCTTTGAAGGTGACCCAGAAACTACAACTAATCCAGAATGCGGCAGCTAGACTGGGGACTGCGAGCGGCCATCTTGAAAGACCTACACTGGCTCCCAGTACGTTTCCGAGCACAATTCAAAGGGTTGGTGCTGACCTTGAAAGCCCTAAACGGCCTCAAAGGTCCAGTAGACCTGAAGGAGCGTCTCCACCCCCATTGTTCAGCCCGGACGCCGGGGTCCACTTCCGAGGGCCTTCTGGTGGTTCCCTCGCTGTGAGAAGCCGAGTTGCAGGGAACCAGGCAGAGGGCCTTCTCGGTGGTGGTGCGCGCCCTGCGGAACTCCCTCCCACCAGATGTCCAAGAGAAAAAGAACTACCGGACTTTGAGAAGACATCTGAAGGCAGCCCTGTTTAGGGAAGCTTTTAATGTTTAATTGGTTATTGTATTTTAGTGTTTTGTTGGAAGCCGCCCGAGTGGCTGGGAAACCCTGCCAGATGGGCAGGGTATAAATACTAAATTATTATTATTATTATTGTGGCAAATTAGCTTCTTCCTCTTCTCCGAAAGCCCCTTCCCGCCTCACCTTGATCATAGCTCCACAGGATCAGGGCCACGAAGGCAAGGGCCGAAGCCAAGCCTGTCAGTCCGTTGACGTAGATGCTGAGCCACTTCCAGGCCTTCCCTCCTGGGGAGCAAAAGGGTGGTAGCACCTAAGGGTGGGACCCCATAGATCATCCAGTCCAACCCGCGGCAAAAAGATACTCACGGATCTGGAGCTTATGGGGCTGACACAATGGCAAGAGGATCCCCATCCGGAGAAAGCAGCACTCACCAGGGCTGAGGCGGAGAGCTGGAAGGACACCCCCAGCATCATGGAGATCCCTGCAGGATGGAGCCCGTTGGGGAGAGGAGACATCAAGCACCTCAGGGAGGAATTCCAATGTTCCTCTTCCCCCTACAGAAGTGTCAACTGGGTGCCATGGCCCTGGCACCGAAATTTGGGGGTGTCCAGACCCTCCATGGGAATGTTGTGGGCGCTCGGGCACCCATGCCTCTCTCCTCTCTCCCATCCCAGGTACGCCCATGGTGACATTGCCTGGGGTTGTACTGGATGACCCTGGGGGTCCTTTCCGAATCTATCCTATCATTAATTGGAGGTTTTTCAGTGGGGTCCCATCCAACTCTACCATTCCCTGGAAAGATGGATTCAGAGTTTGCTTTCGCTTTCTCCTCTCTCCCAACCAGGTCTTCTGGAGCTGCAGAATTATTGGGCCTCTTTCTCCGGAGAAATGTTGGTGGGAATCATAGACCCATTGATGGGGAAGGGATCCCATGGTCGTGTAGCAAGGCAAGGCAAGACCACCCCCAGAAACATCATTCCTACATCGCAGAAGGGGTGTAACCTAAGACCACCCCTCAGATACATCATACCTACATCACAGAAAAGGCGGTCTAAAACAGAAATTTTGAATGTTGTTTTTCTCCTGTCCTTGTTTATCTCCTGTCTGGTAGGTTACTTGATTGGATTTCCTGGGGAGCCTGGCTAGTCATACCTACATCACAGAAAAGGCAGTCTACAGCAGAAATCTGACTGCATTGTTTATCTCGTCTGACAGGTTACCTGTTTAATGGTCACTTGATTGGATTGCCTGGGGAGCCGGGCTAGTTTTTGTAATGATAAATACTTAGTTCCTGGGCCAGGTCACAGGCTCACACCCTATTCATATCTTAAATGTGCCCTTAAGACCGGATTTGTGAGACAATGGGGAGGTTTCCCATTTTGACATTGCCGAGAAAACATTTGCTCAGTTTAGGAATCAAAATGGTTCCAGGAGGGTCTTCCTGTGCTGATCTTGGTTGGTATGCTTAGGAACATTACCATATATGTCAGGGGTTCAGGAGCAGAGGCAAGGGCAAGGGAGGAAACAGAGAGCGAGGGGGAGGAGGCAGAAGAAAAGATGAGTGATGACGACGACCCGAGATCTCCGAGTCTTTCCAGTGAATCAGAAGATTCACAGAAAGGAGCACCAGTGGCCAGGGCAAGGGGGGGAGCCTAGGGAGACGCCCCAGGAAGATAGAGCCAGAGGGGACTCAGAGGGGAGCAGTTGGAAATCGGGACCAGCGTCACCGCCAGAGAGCAGGGAAGAGGAAGGGAGCCAGGGATCAAGCGCTGGCAGCTCACAACAGGGGGGAGGGCACGAGTCAGGAGTGGCCACACCTCCATCGGGGAGCGAAGAAACGGTCAGACGGAAGGTGGAAGGTTGGGCGCGCGCGCATGGTTCAAATGCACAGGAAGGTGGCACAGTAGGCAGCCCGGAAAGGGAGCCAGGTCCTAAAGCCCGCCGAAAGGAGGGAGAAGAGTCAGGGGGGTCAGCGTCAGAGGAATCCCGGAAAGAAGAGACCCCAGGGGCAGAGGGACCCAGAGAAGAACAGTCAGGCGGAAAAGGTGGAGCAGGGCTAGGATATTAAGTTGGTGTACAAGGGGCGGAGACTCAGACGGAGCTTCGCCGGTCTAACCATGAGACGTAGAGTTGCACGCAGCAGTTTGAGAATGGAAACTGTAACTCAATAAAGACTTTTGTTTAATGATCGCTGGCTAGCGTGATCCTCTGTGAGCTAGGATCTGGAAGCAGCTCTGACAATATATCTAAGACCGTAAAATTCCTATCACAGTTGAAACCCAGTCAACGCAATGCTTTCCTTGCAGACCCAGAAGGCTGACTCTAGATTTGTTCTAATTCCTCATAGCAATCCCACCTGATCACTACAGGGCGAAATGTGGCAACAGGGGAGAGGAGAGGGCCCGGATTCTTCTTCCGTTTTGTGCCCCCCACTTGGCGTCTACTCACCCGGCGTCACGTCCAGCTGGGGCGACTCCTTCCAGCCCCGGCGGTTGCTGGCATTGCAGGAGTACGAGCCGCAGTGGGATGTCTCCACCCCGGAGAGGGGGAGAAGAAGAATGTCATCCCTTTGGCCCCTGGAGAGCGGTTTCCCGTCCCTTTTCCATTCAACGGCCTCCACTGTGCCACTCGGCACCCGGCAGGACAAGCGGACACCGGGATTTTGCAGAGAAGGCTCTCTGCGGACGACCGGCTGGGCAGGAGGCTCTGAAAACGGGGGAAAGAACCCAAAAGCTGGAAGGGACCCTGAGGGTCATCCAGACCAACCCCCAGCAAGGCGGGAACCTTTTGCCCCAAAGAATGCAATCCTGGCTCGGAAGAGAGCCTTTTGTCCTGTTTGTCCTGCTGTTTTCGACCTTTTGGAGTTCATGCCTCCCTGGACTGGCAGCATTCTTTCTCCGGCTCACCTGTGGAACTCACTGACACTGGGGTCCCTGTGCGTGAAGGGGGGGGGGTTTCTCCTTCCTGCCTCGTTTTTGGCGCCTGTTCAAATGTGGGTGGCCCGGCCTGCATCTCCTATTTTATTTCTCATTATTAATACCTGTAATAACAATTTACTAAATGTATATTAGGATGCGCCTGGGGAGGGAAGAACAAGATTAACATATTTAATAATACTTTGTGGTCCTTTCCCGCATTCTTCCCGGCCCCTTAAAGTGGGGCGGCTCTTAAAGAGGACCCCTAGGTTATGCTTTCCTGCCAACCTAGCAGTTCGAAAGCACGTCAAAGTGCAAGTAGATCAATAGGTCCCGCTCCGGCGGGAAGGTCAATGGCGTTTCTGTGCGCTGCTCTGTTTTGACAGAAGCGGCTTAGTCATGCTGGCCGCATATCCAGAAGCTGTACGCCGGCCAATAAAGCAAGATGCACACCGCAACCCCAGAGTCGGCCATGACTGGACCTAATGGTCAGGGGACCTTTACGTAGGTGACACTTACCAAGGTCCTCTAGGGATCTGGGTATCCCGTGTGCCACTGCAGGACGTCCTCCGACGAATTCGTTCTCCCCGGAGCAGGCAGCCCATGGTTGGACGTGTTTTCGGGAGCAGGGAGCAGGAAAGGGGAGCCGGCGGCAACTTTGGCCAGCCAGAGCAGCACTGCAGAGAAACAGGGACGCAGAATCCTAGCCGAGGGTCACCTAGTCCTGCCCCCGGCAAGTCCAAACGTAGAAGCATAGAACTGGATTGGGACTCTGAGGGTCATCCAGCTCAACCCCCTGCAACGCATCCTGTCCATTGGTCTGGGATGGAAGAGCGGAGATGGCTGCCTAGCGGTGGGTTGGGATGGATGACCCTTTGGGGTCCCTTTCAGCTTGAGCTCTGGAAGTTTAGGGAAGCTTTTAATGTTTAATCGATTATGGTATTTTAGTGTTTTGTTGGAAGCCGCCCAGAGTGGCTGGGGAAACCCAGCCAGATGGGCGGGGTATACATAATAAGTTATATTATTATTATTATAAGTGGCGGCTTGGAGAACGTTGGCCTTGGCGTGACGTGGAGCCACGAATCCAGGCTAGTGGGGGGACTGGATCTCTGAAGGATCCTCTACTGACCGCAAATTACGTCTCTCTTTCCGCTCTGGCTCATCTAGGCAACCCACCAGAGTGGAAAACTGGACTGTGTCCAAGTTGGAAATGTACACAGCCAGACGGGAGAAACATACACAGTCCAGAGTCCGGGCCCAAGCCGGATGCTGTGCAAACGGTTACCTGGCGCCAGCAAGCCACTTGCTGCCATCTTTCTGGGGAAGAAGCAAATCTTCATCTGCGGAGAGAAAGCAGAGGGAGAATGAGAAAAGGGACCCTGAGGGTCATCCAGACCAACCCGCTGCGATACAGGAAGATGCTGCTGTCTCTCGAACCTGCAACCTCGGTGTTCTCAGCAGCTATGAATATGAATCCTTGGTATTCTCTCTCCAGCTATCTATGGATCCCAATCACGAGAAGCACTGGGAATGGCTCCATGCACCCAGCCCCCCTTCTTTCTGTGGCTGCCCTTCAGAACTAACGGGCATTGGGGTTCCCTTGTAGGAAGTAGAAGAAAGGCGTCTGCAACACGGGCCTAAATGAGAAATGCCAAATGAGAGATCCAAAGGACAAGACTATATTTTAATTTTAATACATAAAAGTTTAGATTGCCACCATCCATCTAATAGGTCTGTACTCTGTCCCTCCTGGTCTCCCAATTTCTCCTTCTCTTGCTGCATATGCTATTTTTATTTTGTATTCCATCACTTCTTGGTCTCCCCATTTCTCTTGCTGCATATCCTTACCCTCTCCCAGCCATGCCGAATATCCTAATTTCTTTTCGCTACTGCTCCGCGTTCAAGTCCTACTCTGCCCGTTCCCCCGACTATTATATATTTCTTTCAAATGCTTTGCAAAAGGGTTTCCGCTCCTCTGGGTCCCTAATTTTGGTCATCATATCAGTTTATTCTCTTATTGGTTGATATTTCTCCGTCTCATAGATCTCTAGCGTGGCTGTAAGGGCAGGAAAACGCGAGGCGGATTTGGAATAGCAAAAAGCAGAAAGATGTTACAGATAACTATTTAGGGTGTGGTCTTTTTGGTGGGGGAGATTCTAGGTTTGTCTTATTATGTATTTTGTGGGTTTTGTGTTCTGGTTTTCTTTGGCGAGCTGCCTTGAGCAGTATATAAAGCCAATAAATAACACATAGTTGACATCAAATTATTCCACCCACCCACCCCTTGCAAATCAGGCTTCTCCTCAAAATTTAGAAACTTTCGGCTGTTTGCAAGGAGCAAACCGCTCCAAAGCACAGCGGATGTTTGAAGTGGTCCCCCCAAAATTCATCTGAAAATGCAACATATTGTGAGACTGGAGAAGCCCAGAGAAGTTGCATTTTCAACTGAATTTTCCCCGATTTGTAAGGGGTGTGTGTGGAATAATTTCGGCGCAAATTGCCAGGGAGTCAGTGGATCAATTCAATGTAATCTTGATGGCTGTTATTCTTGTTCAAGGATGACGATGATTAAAGCATGCAAACTTTGGAAAACGAAATAAATCACATTATTTACCTCTCCGGCAAACGAAATAAATCACATTATTTACCTCTCCGGCAAACGAAATAAATCACATTATTTACCTCTCCAGCAAACGAAATAAATCACATTATTTACCTCTCTGGATGATCCTGAGTCCTGGGGGTAAAATCACTGGGTGGCAGAGCTGGAGGGAAGCGTTTTGACGCTTCCCATCCAGCTGGCAGGCGAGCAAAATGGACAGGAAATGGACAGAAAAAGCCTGCCTCCTCCTTGTTTCTCTGGGGATGTTCCAAGGCGGCTTTGAATGCCACTCACAAAGATGCTTCAGCCCGTTTTCCAGACAAATCCTCATTCCTTTCATTACTATTAGGCTTTTCAATTTAAAAAAACAACAAAAAACAACCAGAAGCATTTTACTTGGTCAGGACATTAATAGGCAAGATGTCAAATTGTTTTTCTATGCAACAACTGCGGCAAGAGTATTGTGAGCCCAGAAATGGAAACAAGATGAAATTCCAACGAAAGAAGAATGGCAGACAAAATTTATGGACTCTGCAGAATTGGACAAAAGGACAGGAAGGATTCGAAGCTGCAAGACCAGAGATTGACAGAAGATTGGAAGAAGTATATGAATTTTTTGAAGAGCAACTGTAATTGACAAATTATGCTAGAAGTTTTGTAAGGAGAGATATACGAAGTGTTACAAAGTAGAAAAAGATAGAAATCTTGGTTATGAGTAATAGGAAGATAAGAAATGTATCCTGAGAAATTAGATTGGAAAATTTTCAGACAGGATTGATGGAAGTCAAAAATTGAAATAAGATCTCAAAGGATGTTTAATTATTGTTGAAAATGATATATTAAAAAAACTAATAAAAATTAATATATTAAAAAAATAATAATCACTTATTCTTCCTGCATTGCTGGGGGTGGGACTAGATGACCACGGGACCCATTCAAACGCGATTTCTGCCCGGATGCCTGGGTCTACTTCCGAGGGCCTTCTGGCGGTTCCCTCGCTGCGAGAAGCTGAGTTGCAGGGAACCAGGCAGAGGGCCTTCTCGGTGGTGGTGCCTGTCCTGTGGAACTCCCTCCCACCAGATGTCCGAGAGAAAAAAGAATTACCCGACTTTGAGAAGACATCTTAAGGCAGCCCTGTTTGGGGAAGCTCTGAATGTTGAATCGGTTCTTGTATTTGAGCGTTTTGTTGGAAGTCACCCCGAGTGGCTGGGGAAACCTTGCCAGATGGGCGGGTATAAATTAATAATAATAATTTTAAATATTAATTAAAGTATGAAGAATAATAATTATTTAAGCGGCAAATTAGCCCTGAAATGCAGAGATGGGACCCCCAGAGGCATCTAGTCTGACCCCTGAAATGCAGAGATGGGACCCCCAGAGGCATCTAGTCTGATCCCTGAAATGCAGAAATCTAGTCTGGGCCCTGCTGCCCTCAACCAACATGGCAGCAGCAGCGCCTCTTCTGCCCTTTCTTCCCCCCTCCGGCCCGTTTCCCTCTTTCGAGTCCCGTTGCCTTCTTCCAAAATGGCCGCCCTAGGAACCCCCTCACTCGCACACACCCAATAATTATCTGTGCAGCGATAGGTCAGCCTTTCGGCCAATCCCAGGTCGGGTTGTGGGTGGGTCCAGCAGTTTCGTGCTTTTTCTCACAGCTGTTTCTCAGCTGCTTCCCACACCCTGGACGCGAAGGAAGTTTTGCCATGTTTTTAATACTGGGAAACAGCAATAAATGATTATAGCATTACTTTTTAAATCATCATCATTATTAGAAAAGGCTTAGGGAAGTTTGTAATATAGTATGTGTCAGGGGTTCAGGAGCAGAGGCAAGGGCAAGGGAGGAAACAGAGAGCGAGGGGGAGGAGGCAGAAGAAAAGATGAGTGATGACGACGACCCGAGATCTCCGAGTCTTTCCAGTGAATCAGAAGATTCACAGAAAGGAGCACCAGTGGCCAGGGCAAGGGGGAGCCTAGGGGACGCCCCAGGAAGATAGAGCCAGAGGGGACTCAGAGGGGAGCAGTTGGAAATCGGGACCAGCGTCACCGCCAGAGAGCAGGGAAGAGGAAGGGAGCCAGGGATCAAGCGCTGGCAGCTCACAACAGGGGGGAGGGCACGAGTCAGGAGTGGCCACACCTCCATCGGGGAGCGAAGAAACGGTCAGACGGAAGGTGGAAGGTTGGGCGCGCGCGCCAAGTTCAAATGCACAGGAAGGTGGCACAGTAGGCAGCCCGGAAAGGGAGCCAGGTCCTAAAGCCCGCCGAAAGGAGGGAGAAGAGTCAGGGGGGTCAGCAGCTCAGAGGAATCCCGGAAAGAAGAGACCCCAGGGGGCAGAGGGACCCAGAGAAGAACAGTCAGGCGGAAAAGGTGGAGCAGGGCTAGGATATTAAGTTGGTGTACAAGGGGCGGAGACTCAGACGGAGCTTCGCCGGTCTAACCATGAGACGTAGAGTTGCACGCAGCAGTTTGAGAATGGAAACTGTAACTCAATAAAGACTTTTGTTTAATGATCGCTGGCTAGCGTGATCCTCTGTGAGCTAGGATCTGGAAGCAGCTCTGACAGTAAGCTCCGTCTCTATAAATTGTGGGCATCTACAGCCTCGCGGAGAGGAGAGAAAGCGGGTGCCTACTAGCGAGCTCACGAAAGGCAGACAATATGACGGCCGAACAGCAGATAGCGGAACTCAGAGAAGCAGTGTCACGACTGAATGCCGAGGCTCTTGCATCCAGGAAGAGAGAGGAGGACGCAGCTGCCGCCTACAGGGATCTCCAGGTCAGGTTGGAAGTGCTTACGAAGCAAGGGCAACTGACACCCAAACCGGAGGGGATTGGGTTGGGGAGACGAACAGGCGGTCTGGTCTCTCACTTCGATGGGAATTTGCAACAGTACCCCAACTTTAGAGCAGATGTAATGTGTGCACTGCAACTGCTGGACAAAGACTTTAGAGATGAGCAAGAGAAGGTGGGATTCATCATGTCCCATTTGCATGGAGATGCTAAAGCATGGCTGCGCAATTTGTGGAGAGATAAGGATCCGGCGCTCCAAAATGCGGATGCCTTTATTAAAGCGATGGATGGGTGCTTTTTATCAAGCATTGACGTGGATCTTGCTCGGCAGCAGATACATGGACTGAAGCAAGGGAGGGCCAGCGTAAGGCAGTACCATGCCCGCTTTTCGCTTTGGTCAGTGCTCTGGAATGGGACAGAGATTCGGCTCCTGTAAGAGACCTGTTTTGGGAGGGATTGCACGGCTCGGTTAAAGATGAAATTGCGAGGGGGGAGAGACCCCGGACCACGCAGGAGATCGTTCAGAGGGCGCTGGCGGTGGGGGTGCGGCTGGAAGAACGTCCGTGGAGCAGGGACGAAGGGCGTGGAGGGCGCGAACCAGCCAGGGGCTCCTCCTTCCTTCCCAGAGAAGCAGCGCGTGCGCAATCCACGCCTCCGCCAGGAGGAGGAGCGGAACCTATGGAGGTTGGAGGTGCAAGGGCTCAGTCAGCAGCCAGAGCCCTAGCACCGGCAGCAGTGAAAGCGAAGCCTCCTAGAGGGAACAGGAAGTGTTACATCTGCGATGCTCCACAGCATATGGCGAAAGAGTGTCCCCAGAGGCTCCACAAGCACACTGCAGCTTCAGCAATGGTAACTGCAGCAACGCAGCAAGGAGAACCACAGCAGGGAAACGACGGAGTCTGGTTGGAGGAAGAGGCACTGGGGCCCAGCCAGACGTGTCAGTGAAGCAGTCCCCAGAGATTTTACAGCCCATGGACCCCCTCCCGCCCAAACCAGTAGTGAGGCTCACCGCGTCGCTCCAGCTGCCCAATGGAATCACCATGGACGTGCCAATCACCATTGACTCCGGAAGCAATGCGGACTTTATAGGGCAGGACTTTGTCGACCGGCACGCTATACAGTTGCTGCCTGCCACGCTGCCCCTGCAGGTTGTCACGGTGGATGGCAGGGAGCTGCTAGGGGGGCAAGTGGTGAAGCAGACGCCACCAATGGTGATGCGGCTTGGGAATCACAGGGAAATCATCAGCTTCAATGTCACTCAACTATCGGACACGCCCATTGTATTGGGCATGAGTTGGCTGGACAAGCACAGCCCGACGCTGGCTTGGTACCAGAGGCAGCTGACCTTCGGCTCTTCCTTTGCGCTGAACACTGCATCGTGCCCCGGCAGGAAGGAGAGGAAGAGGAGTCACAGCTGCAGCTAGGCACGCTGCAAGCGGTTCCCCACAAGTACGCAGAATTTTTGGAGGTTTTCTGCGAGAAGGAGGCAGACAGGCTACCCCCCCACAGACCATATGACTGCAAAATTGACCTGCTGCCGGGGGCGGCGCTGCCCAAAGGGAAGCTGTATTCCATGTCTGAGGACGAACTGCAGGAACTCAAAGAGTTCATAGATCATAATTTGGAGCGCGGTTTCATCCGAGAGTCCAAGGCAGCGGGGGCAGTCCGGTATTCTTTGTTAAGAAGCGGGACACGCCCCAGAAAAGACTTGTAGTGGACTATCGCATTTTGAACAGCGTGACCAAGCCATCGGACTTCCCCATGCCCCGAATCGACGACCTCCTCGCAAAGGTACGGAAGGGCAGCGTGTTCACTAAGTTGGACCTGCGAGGGGCGTACAACCTCATTCGCATGCGGGAAGGAGATGAGTGGAAGACAGCCATGTTCACGCCCTGGGCACCTACGAATATAGAGTTATGCCTTTGGATTGCAAAATGGTTCCCACGTTTTTCAAGCTTTCATGCAACACGTGTTGGCGGGGCTCCCTACAAGACGTGCGTCTGTTTCTTGGATGACATCCTGATCTTTTCGGAATCGCAGCAGGAGCATGACAGACACGTCAAGGAAGTGCTGAGCAGGCTACAGCAACATAGGCTTTACGCCAAGCTGGAGAAGTGCCAATTCGACGTGACGGAGGTGGATTTCCTGGGCTACAAGTTGTCTGATAAAGGGCTCGCCATGGACAGCGCCAAGGTCCGAGCAGTGTTGGATTGGAAAAGCCCACGCAACCGGAAGGAGGTCCAACGGTTTGTCGGCTTTGCGAACTTCTATCGCAAGTTTATCAAAGGCTTTGCCATGCAGACAGCGGCCATCACGGACACGCTCAGCTCCAAGAAAAAGAAGTTCATCTGGACAGAGCAGGCGGAGCAGTCCTTTCAGGCACTCAAGCCGCCTCTTCGCGTCGGAAGGGCAACTGCTTCATGTCAACCCCAGCAAGCCGATGAGGGTGGAGACAGACGCTCGGACAGAGCCGTGGGAGCAGTCCTGCTGCAGAAGGACCCGCAGGGGGTTTGGAGGCCGGGAGCGTTTTACTCAAGGAAGCTCAGCAAGTCCGAACAGAACTACACCATCTGGGACAGGGAGTTGCTGGCCATTCATGCAGCGTTCAAAGCGTGGAGGCACTTCCTGATCGGCGCCAAGCACACGGTGCAGGTCTGCACGGACCACAAGAATCTAGAGCACTGGCGCACGGCACAGTTCCTGAACCAGAGGCAGATACGTTGGGCTGAGTTCTTTGCGAATTTCGACTTCCGAATAGAGTATGTCCCGGGGACACCAACATCATGGCGGATGCTCTCTCCCGTAAGCCGCAGTATCTGGAGGAGGCAACGCCAGCGGCCGCCATGCACATCTTCGCACCGACAGTGTGGGCGTGCACGGCGGCAACAGTTGACCTGGAGGCGGTGCGACGAGCGTTGCAGGATGACTCCTTCGCGCAAGC